CATTTCTATTAAAAACACGATGAAGTTCAGGACAATGAGGTTACTGAACGTGTTCAATTCATTTCTATTAAAAACACGATGAAGTTCAGGACAATGAGGTTACTGAACGTGGGCAATTCATTTCTATTAAAAACACGATGAAGTTCAGGACAATGAGGTTACTGAATGTGGTCAATTCATTTTCATTAAAAACACGATGAAGTTCAGGACAATGAGGTTACTGAACGTGGGCAATTCAGCTAATTCATTAAGGATACACATGGAGTGAGTCGAACGTTGGTATCAATATTTTCCTCAGCCAGTCAAACTATGTATTTGCACGAGGTAAATGAAATGAATACCGGTCACGGTAGCCGAGCGGTCTAAGACATGTACTGTCTTCGCTCGCTTGGAAACCGGGATCGTGGGTTCGAATCCCACTCAGGGCCTGGATGTTTAGTTTGTGTGTGTGCGTTTTTCTGTGTTTGTATACAGGTAGAGGCCTTGCGACGAGTTGATCACCCGCCCAAGGACTCCTACCGAATGTGTAAGATCTAGGAAAACCGAAGTGAACGGAGAAGTTCATGGAGTTAGGCCTAGGCACACTGGGGCTGTAGTGCCAAGGGGAAAATATGAAATGAATATATAAAATGGGCAGATCGTGTCCGTCTATAATCCATTCCATTATTACGTGCAGTCATTAAATATATGACGACGGATTTTCGTAGTTTGCTAGCGACTTTTCCCACATTCGGAGACGTGCCGGGCCTTTTTGTATCCTTGGCAATACACATTCGGATTTGGCAGAAGGCTGGGAATTTCTTTACTTCTCTTCAAGAAGAACTCTGCATCATACTATTAGGGAGGGATTATACTAACAGACGTGCAGAATATTTAATTTTGTCTTGTATCGATCAGATTTTACTTGAAGTTCACATCGAATTTCACAGAATTGGTCATCATACATGTTCTGCCACATAACAATATATATGTATCATTATGTGAGGTACGCTACCTGTAGTGGGTTTAGCTTTGCGACTGCATATTTCTATCAACAACAGGCCTTACTTAATTACTTACTTACTTACGGAGCTGAGCCCTTCTGGAGGAGCTGCAAATTCTGCAGCTACTCAAGAATTTTACAGCATTTTATGGAACCCAAATGTTCATTACCAAGTTCACAAGAGCCCTCCACTGGTCCATATCCTGAGCCAGATCAATCCAATCCACACCATCCCATCCTATCTCTCTAATATCCATTTTAATATTGGTCACCCACCTACGCCTTGGACTTCCCAGTGGTCTCTTTCCTTTAATTTCCTCTAATTATATTTGGAGAAAAGTACAAGTTATGATGCCTCCCCATTGTGCAGTTTTCTCCAACCTCCTCTCACTTCATCTCTCTTCGGTCCAAATATTCTCCTCAACACCCTGTTCTCAAACACCCTCAGTCTATGTTCCTCCCTTAATGTCAGAGACCAAGTTTCACATCCATACAGAACCACAGGCAAAATTATAGTTTTGAATGTTCTCATTTTTATGTTTTTCGACAGCAGACGAGAAGATGAAAGGTTCTGGACTGAATGGTAGCAAGCATTACCCGAGTTCAATTTCCTCTTAATTTCCTCCTGATTCAGGTTTCGATCTGTTATCGTTGTTCCTAAATATCTGAACTGTGCCACTTTTTCAAAATGTCAGTTTCCTATCTTTATGTCATGATTTTGCCCTGCATTTTGGTGACGAGACAGTAACATGTACTTAGTTTTCTCAGCGTTTACTTCTAGATCTAGACCAACCTCTTTACTTGCGTCAATTTAAGTTCGTGTGTTTTCTTTATGGTATCCGCATTATCACCCAGTAGATTCACATCATCGGCGTAGACCAACAGCTGATGTGTCCCGTTTAATTTCAGTCCCACCTGGTTTCCCTGGACCTTCCTAATTCCATATTCTAAAGCAAAGTTGAAAAGAATTGGCGATAAATCATCTCCTTGTTTTAGACCATTCTGGATAGGAAATTTTTCAGACAGATATTTACCTACGCGGACTTTACTATACGTTTCCTTTAAACACATTTTAATCAACCTAACTAGTTTCATGGTATCCCAAACTCTATCAGAGTATTGTACAATACTTCCCTCCTAACTGAATCGTAAGCTTTCTTGAAGTCTACAAATAGCTGAGGTACTGTCTCATTGTACTCCCATTATTTCTCCAATATCTGACGAATGCAAAAGATCTGATCTGCAGTTGATCTGTTACGTCGAAACCCACACTGATGATCCCCAATAATTTCATCTATATATGGACTTAACCTTGAGCTAAGAATATTGGACAAAATTTTATATGAAGTTGATAGCAGTGATATCCCCCGATATTTGCTAGTCAGTTTTATCACCCTTCTTGTGAACTGGTACAATAATAGACTCTTTCCACTGATCAGGCAATTTTTCTTTATGTCAAATAGAAGTAATTAGATTGTGGATCTTAGAACGTAATATTTCGCCTCTTGCTTGAATAAGTTCTGCCGGAATTTGATCACTGCCTGGCGATTTATACCGTTTCAATTTTGCAATAGCACTTTCAACTTCAAAAGGGCTAGGTTCAGCTACTAACGGCTCAACTGTATGGATTTCTGTCTGCCTAACATCACTGATCCTATGTACATTCAATAAATGAGAGAAGTAGTTCCTCCACCTATTCAAAATGTTGTGGGAATCTGCAAGCAGATCACCATTTTCATCCTTCACTAAGTTACTGCTAGGCTGGTAACCCCTCTTAAAGTCATTTATTCCTCTATACAGGTCTCTATAATGTTCTTGTTCTTACTGTTCATTGCAAGCTCATCAATTTTGTCTTTCAGATATTCCCTCTTTTTGTTCCTGAAATGCCTGCTGGTTTCACGTCTTATATTGTTCAGATTATCCCCATTTAACTCACTTGGATCCTGTAACCACTTCAATTTGTCCTGCTTTCTTTGACCTAACAATTTTGAGCATCCTTCATCGAACCATGGCTTATGCTTCTTCGGTTCATAATAACCTAGACTCTCTTTGGCAGACATTTTTATATTCTCTCTAATAGTTTCCCAAGCTTTATCAAAATCCACCTCAGTTTCCAAGTTTTCCAAAGTCGCGAACCTATTTGAGATTTCAACACAATACTGCTCTTTACCTTCTACCTCATTTAATTTCTTTAGATTGAACCTCTCCATTTGAACTCTGTGTGTGTGTGTGTTTGCTCACTGCCAGCCTTTCAACACCAGGCCCTACGATATATTGCAATCAAATCCAATACATAAATGAAGTCGCAAATAAAATGGTTGCATATACGTGTTTTCCTGGGGAACGCGGTAGCATGTGTAGTTCGTTGAGGTACTATGCTACAAGCCGGAAGGTCTCGAGTTCGATTCCCGATAATGTAATTGGATTTTTCAATTTATTTAATGCTTCCAGATATACTATGGCCCTGGGGTCGACTCAGCCTCTAAGAAAAATGAGTATGAGGAGTCTTCCTGGGGGTAAAAGGCGGCCAGTACGTAAGGCTGACAACCTCTCCGCAATATGTAAGCCGATTGTCTAGATAATGTGGGAGCCTCTAACGTCTCACAACCCTATGGGCTTCCACAGGTGGGTGGACGATATTAAAATGGATCTTAGAGAGATAAGATGGGATGGTATGGATTGGATTTATCTGGCTCAGGGTAGAGACCAGTGGAAGGCTCTTATGAACACGGTAATGACACCTTCGGGTTCCATAAAATGCTGGGAAATTCTTGAGTAACTACAGAATTGGCAGCTCATGAAGAAGGGCTCAGCTCCATGAGTAATAATATTAGGCGTAAGAGTAAAATACAGATTATGAAGCTGCTCAATATGTAATTATATCGTAGGTAGAAATAAGGGTATCTTTTTCTCAGAAGTCTTCCTCCTATTCTATGTTATTTCCTCAGAAAAAGAAACCGCAATTCTCACCCATATACTCCGTACCTTGTTTCGCCGAATTTACTGAATGAATTGTGAGATGACTAAGGGTAAGTAGATAAATGACAGCATTTACTGACTTGCCACGTTTCTGCCTGCCAGGAAACATGTGGGGGACATGCACCAATGGTACAGAAGGACTGGGATGCGGTCGTCCCGAGACTTTCCGGAACTGTGCTGACGTCACGATAGTGACGAGCACAGCAGGACTTCCGCCAATTTTTATTGGCCAGCAAGATAACCCATTCCTGCTATATTACCGAGACTTCCGGTCACCAAGCCTTGTCTCACCACTTATCATTAGGTGAGTCATTAATAGTTTCCTCGTTTTGTATGTATCATCCAAGCAGATATATGGCAACCACCTTTGAAAATTGTCGACCCAGCTACTGTAGTGTTTACATTTTTTTTCCTTGGCACTACAGCCCCAGTGGGCCAAGGCCTACTTCCATGAACTTCTCCGTTCACTTCGGTTTTTCTAGATCTTACACATTCGGTAGGACTCCTTGGGCGGGTGATCAGCTCGTCACAAGGCCTCTACCTGTACACAAACACAGAAAAACGCACACACACAGACTAAACAGCCATTCCCTGAGTGGGATTCGAACCCACGATCCCGGTTTCCAAGCGAGCGAAGACAGTACATGCCTTAGACCGCTGGGCTACCGTGACCGGCTGTAGTGTTTACATTACCTACTTTTATTGCAGGCAGCAAGTGTGTTTGCCGACCCCTTTCTACAAGCGCCTGCCAGGCGTGGAGGAGTGGTGTCAGACCAACTGTCTGCGGTACCCCCCGAACTGTTCCCCCTTGATCTGCCAGTGCCCGTAAGTATTCATTCGTTCATTTACCGATTCATTTTGCTGTTTACTTTTCAGCACTTTCAGAAAGTCAGAGACTGGTAACGGGCTGAGCGGCCGAGAAATTGCAGTTCGTTTGCCGGTAGGGGTCAGAAATTAGTCCTTTTCCCACACCGTTTAGATCATCTCTGGGGCAGATCCAGCTCCCTATACATTGGGTACTAGAGGTTTTTTTCCCTCGGGGTAAAGTGACCGAAGCTTGAAGTTGACCACTTCCACCTACAGTAGAAATTAAAAATATGTAGAGCTATACCTCCACTCCCCCATACGTCTTAATGGCATGGTATCTAACTAATTATGCACATTGAAAATTCATCTGTACTTCAATGTCGCTGACAGTTTAGTGTCAATCGCCTGATTTCCAAAACTTGAAAGAATATTGTCTTCCGAGATACAACATCATGTAGTCCGATAAAGCTTACCGACGTTTCGGAGGACCTTATACTAACATGATCCAATAGTAACCTAATTTCGTAACCAGCAAGAGATAGACGGCAAGCAGATTATGCTGCTTTTCCAACTGATGGTGCATTCTCATAGCAGAAATGAACAGCAAAAATTTCTAACGAAGACTTGAGACCTGCAGGAATTGGAACGCCTTGTTGGTTGCCATGTGACAAGAAGCAAATAATATCCGTTACGATTCTGAAATGGATAGTTGAGTGTTGCATTGTTTCTGTTATAGGGAAGTGTGCGACGCGATCGGTGAGCTGGAAGGCCGCGCAGGCGCGGACGTGTACTGCATGGATAAGTGCCTCGTGTACTCCTCGCAGTGTCCTGCCGAGAGATGTCGTTGCTACTAAGTTACCATACGCCATAGCCATGAGAAGATGAGTTATTTTGCTGCTACGAAACGCCTGAAACATGCTTTCGCTTCGAAATAAACAATTTCACTTCTTTTATACACATCTGAGAATAACAGATGATTATTCTCCGGACGGAAAACCCTGAATTTAAGGAAAATTTCAAGGAAGTTTCATGAGTTTCAACTAAGTTTTGAGGATACGCGTCAAATAATGTATGAAACTACAAAACATTACATCAGTATTTAATGAAATCTGGGTTGATCCTCAATAGAAGACCGGCGGAACTCCTCCATTTAAGTTACTGCTAGCAGGACGGCCAGGTTTATGTTCTCGTCTGAAACATCACGTTCGAACATGGTCTCTTCAGTTTATATTGAGGGCTCTTACCACTGGGATAAAGGTTCCAGAGCCTGAAGATCAACATTCATATATACTCGTATGATTTGAAGCGATCATAGCAACAGGGTACAATGAAGACTCCTCGGGCGATCAGCCGTGTCAACGTGGAATTGATGCGTATACTGTGCGAAGACAAAACCCATCGCACCAACCCCTGATGATGGAGACAGAGGCAGCTTCTGATACGATGGCCACCAACTTCATATTGACGCAGATGCCGGGTCGAGAAGATTCATTTCAAACGTTCCCTTCCACTCAGTGCAGAAACATACATTGTTTGATGCGTTCCTCCATATCCCTTGCACGCCTTAATAGTGTGGTGCCTAGACACAAGGGAAATTTTGTTTTAAACTGTTCTGCTGGTTATTTACATTATTTATTCCTCGACATTCGATACTGTAATTGCTGTATTATATCAAAATTTGTTTCAACAATTTGCTTAGAGCCCAAATTACTGTATCAAATGTGCACATAATAATCAGTTAACCAGTTAATAGATGTCTGCATGTTATAAAACACGAACATGCCTATACAGCATGTACGGTTCTCTATAGTTCATGCTAGCCTGTGAGGCAAAATGTGTTAGTGGAGTTGAAAGCATGCAGGTTTTCTAAATAAGCTCTAAAAATATGTGACAATGGTACATTGGTACAAATATTATGTTTTTGGACATTATCCATCGTCTTTTCTAAATCTAAAATCCGTTCTGTTTATTTTTCAAAACTCAACGTTTCGGAGACTGGATTCTGTCTCAGTCTTCATGTAAAGCCTAATCAGTTAGGCCTAATCTATAGGGCTATTTCCTATCTCCGGATTTCTTCAGGTAAAACCTTCTCAGCCCAATCGATAGAGTCAGTTCCTATCTCCGGACCTCTTCAGGTAAAAGTACTCAGTTTTACCCAATCAATAGAGCTAGTCCCTGTCTCCAACTGAGTAGGTTTTACCTGAAGACGGAGACAGAATCCAGTCTCCGAAACGCTGTGTTTTGAAAAATAAACAGGACCGTTTTAGATAAAGGCAGGACAATGGATAATGCCCAAAAACATTATATTTGTATTGTACAGGTTCTCTGTAGGGCTTAGCCCGACATTCGTGAAACTCATGTTCCGGCCCAAATTCGGGCTTTTCCCGATAATATTTAATAAAAAAAAGAAGCAGACTGTAATTGTCATGGGTCGTGTTTCATGCGCTCGGCTACTGAATTGAAAATGTGGTCCTCTCTCGGATTCATCCCGACGTCACCAAAATACGTTGCAGACCAAAGTCGGGCTGGGTCTGACAGCTTACAAATTCGAATAAAATGAATTGTACTCAGGGTGTCACAGCCTGTATCAAAATAAAACGATCTCAAAGAGAAGAAATAATTGGTCTCCTAGAACTACTGTACTCTGCTGAATTCGGCCTGAACCTTCTTCAATGAAATTTCCTTGTTTTGCAGTCTGGTTCATGATTGAATGAAATTCCTGTTTCCTTAATTTGGATTGTTTTAAAGAGAATCGGGCAATGAGCAAAGCCTGGTCCAGATAGAGAAAATTGAGTGGTATAAATTAAAATGTAGGATGGTAGTCCATGATTTATTTA